CAGTGACACACACACAGTGACACACACACACAGTGACACACACACACAGTGACACACACACAGCGACACACACACACAGCGACACACACAGTGACACACACAGTGACACACACAGTGACACACACACACAGTGACACACACACACAGTGACACACACACACAGTGACACACACACAGTGACACACACAGTGACACACACAGTGACACACACACAGTGACACACACAGTGACACACACAGTGACACACACACACAGTGACAGACACACAGTGACACACACACACAGTGACACACACAGTGACACACACACAGTGACACACACACAGTGACACACACACAGTGACACACACACACACAGTGACACACACAGTGACACACACAGTGACACACACACAGTGACACACTCACAGTGACACACTCACAGTGACACACACAGTGACACACACACAGTGATACACACAGTGACACACACACACAGTGACACACACAGTGACACACACACACAGTGACACACACACAGTGATACACACAGTGACACACACAGTGACACACACACAGTGACACACACACAGTGACACACACACAGTGACACACACAGTGACACACTGACACACACAGTGACACACACACAGTGACACACACAGTGACACACAGTGACACACAGTGACACACACAGTGACACACACACAGTGACACACTCACAGTGACACACTCACAGTGACACACACAGTGACACACACAGTGACACACACACACAGTGACACACACACACAGTGACACACACACAGTGACACAGACACACAGCGACACACACACACAGTGACACACACAGTGACACACACACACAGTGACACACACAGTGACACACTGACACACACAGTGACACACACACAGTGACACACACAGTGACACACAGTGACACACAGTGACACACACAGTGACACACACACAGTGACACACACACAGTGACACACTCACAGTGACACACTCACAGTGACACACAGTGACACACACACAGTGACACACACACACAGTGACACACACACACAGTGACACAGACACACAGCGACACACACACAGCGACACAGTGTACACACACACACAGTGACACACAGTGACACACACAGTGACACACACACACAGTGACACACACACAGCGACACACACACAGTGACACACACACACAGTGACACACACACACAGTGACACACACACACACACAGTGACACACACACAGTGACACACACACACAGTGACACACACACACAGTGACACACACACAGCGACACACACACACAGCGACACACACAGTGACACACACAGTGACACACACAGTGACACACACACACAGTGACACACACACACAGAGACACACACACACAGTGACACACACACAGTGACACACACAGTGACACACACAGTGACACACACACACAGTGACACACACACACAGTGACACACACACAGTGACACACACACACACAGTGACACACACACAGTGACACACACACAGTGACACACAGTGACACACACACAGTGACACACACACACAGTGACACACACACAGTGACACACACACACAGTGACACACACACAGTGACACACACACACAGTGACACACACACAGTGACACACACAGTGACACACACAGTGACACACACACACAGTGACAGACACACAGTGACACACACACACAGTGACACACACAGTGACACACACACAGTGACACACACACAGTGACACACACACAGTGACACACACACACACAGTGACACACACAGTGACACACACAGTGACACACACACAGTGACACACTCACAGTGACACACTCACAGTGACACACACAGTGACACACACACAGTGATACACACAGTGACACACACACACAGTGACACACACAGTGACACACACACACAGTGACACACACACAGTGATACACACAGTGACACACACAGTGACACACACACAGTGACACACACACAGTGACACATACACACAGTGACACACACAGTGACACACACACACAGTGACACACACAGTGACACACTGACACACACAGTGACACACACACAGTGACACACACAGTGACACACAGTGACACACAGTGACACACACAGTGACACACACACAGTGACACACACACAGTGACACACTCACAGTGACACACTCACAGTGACACACACAGTGACACACACAGTGACACACACACACAGTGACACACACACACAGTGACACACACACAGTGACACAGACACACAGCGACACACACACACAGTGACACACACAGTGACACACACACACAGTGACACACACAGTGACACACTGACACACACAGTGACACACACACAGTGACACACACAGTGACACACAGTGACACACACAGTGACACACACACAGTGACACACACACAGTGACACACTCACAGTGACACACTCACAGTGACACACACAGTGACACACACAGTGACACACACACACAGTGACACACACACACAGTGACACACACACAGTGACACAGACACACAGCGACACACACACAGCGACACAGTGTACACACACACACAGTGACACACAGTGACACACACAGTGACACACACACACAGTGACACACACACAGCGACACACACACAGTGACACACACACACAGTGACACACACACACAGTGACACACACACACACACAGTGACACACACACAGTGACACACACACACAGTGACACACACACACAGTGACACACACACAGCGACACACACACACAGCGACACACACAGTGACACACACAGTGACACACACAGTGACACACACACAGTGACACACACACACAGTGACACACACACAGTGACACACACAGTGACACACACAGTGACACACACACACAGTGACACACACACACAGTGACACACACACAGTGACACACACACACACACAGTGACACACACACAGTGACACACACACAGTGACACACACACAGTGACACACAGTGACACACACACAGTGACACACACAGTGACACACACACAGTGACACACACAGTGACACACACACAGTGACACACACAGTGACACACACAGTGACACACACACACAGTGACACACACACAGTGACACACACACACACAGTGACACACACAGTGACACACACACACAGCGACACACACACAGTGACACACACACAGTGACACACAGTGACACACACACACAGTGACACACACACACAGTGACACACACACACAGTGACACACACACACACACAGTGACACACACAGTGACACACACACAGTGACACACACACAGTGACACACAGTGACACAAAAAGACAAAGATTCCCCGTATAGCCTTAACAGACTGTAGGGGCAAGTGCTGTTAGCGAGCAGCTATGAAGGCCGGAACGGTACAAGAGGGGGTGGGTGGCCAGCACCACGCCCGACCGCCTTTGTCTCCCTAGTGGCAATGTTTACACACCGCACCAGGTACTCATTTGAGGCTGAGTCGACCTAGGGGAGGCCCAGAACAAGTTCAGATAATCGTCACTGGTGTTGGCCGTGAGCTGGAATCGAACCCGGGTCGCCGGGTTCATAGTGCAGCGTAGCGCTAACCACTACACTACCGCTCCCCATAGACACACACACAGTGACACACACAGTGACACACACACAGTGACACACACACACAGTGACACACACACAGTGACACACACACAGTGACACACACACAGTGACACACACAGTGACACACACACAGTGACACACACACAGTGACACACACACAGTGACACACACACAGTGACACACAGTGACACACAGACACACACACACACAGTGACACACACAGTGACACACACACAGTGACACACACACACAGTGACACACACACAGTGACACACACACACACAGACACACACACACACACAGTGACACACACAGTGACACACACACAGTGACACACACACACAGTGACACACACACAGTGACACACACACACACAGACACACACACACACACAGTGACACACACAGTGACACACACACAGTGACACACACACACAGTGACACACACACAGTGACACACACACACACAGACACACACACACACACAGACACACACAGTGACACACACACAGTGACACACACAGTGATGAGTGAGTGGTGAGTGGTGAGTGTTGAATGAGTGAGTGGTGAGTGAGTGGTGAGTGAGTGGTGAGTGAGTGGTGAGTGTTGAATGAGTGGTGAGTGAGTGAGTGGTGAGTGTTGAGTGAGTGGTGAGTGAGTGAGTGGTGAGTGAGTGGTGAGTGTTGAATGAGTGGTGAGTGAGTGGTGAGTGAGCGGTGAGTGAGTGGTGAGTGAGTGGTGAGTGAGTGGTGAGTGAGGGGTGAGTGAGTGAGTGAGTGGTGAGTGAGTGGTGAGTGAGTGAGTGGTGAGTGAGTGAGTGGTGAGTGAGTGGTGAGTGAGTCGTGAGTGAGTGGTGAGTGGTGGTGAGTGGTGGTGAGGAGTGGTGAGTGAGTGGTGGTGAGTGGTGGTGAGTGGTGAGTGAGTGGTGAGTGAGTGTTGAGTGAGTGGTGAGTGAGTGGTGAGTGATTGTTGAGTGAGTGGTGAGTGAGTGGTGAGTGAGTGGTGAATAAGTGGTGAGTGAGTGGTGAGTGAGTGTTGAGCGAGTGGTGAGTGGTGAGTGAGTGAGTGGTGAGTGAGTGGTGAGTGAGTGGTGAGTGAGTGGGTGAGTGAGTGGTGAGTGAGTGGTGAGTGAGGGTTGAGTGAGTGGTGAGTGAGTGTTGAGTGAGTGGTGAGTGTGTGAGTGGGTGAGTGAGTGAGTGGGTGAGTGAGTGAGTGTTGAGTGAGTGGTGAGTGAGTGAGTGGTGAGTGAGTGGTGAGTGAGTGGTGAGTGAGTGAGTGGTGAGTGAGTGAGTGAGTGGTGAGTTGAGTGAATGGTGAGTGAGTGGTGAGTGAGTGGTGAGTGAGTGTTGAGTGAGTGGTGAGTGAGTGGTGAGTGAGTGGTGAGTAAAATCCTCACCCATCACCAGATTTTGAGGCCTCTTCTTCGAGTGAGATCCCAGCAGGAAAAGGGAGGCTTCGGCCTTCGTGGTGAGGAATTCCTACGCTCACCACACACACACAGAGGGGGTGAGTGGTGAGCGTGGTGGTGAGCGGTGGTGAGTGGTGGTGGTGAGTGGTGGTGAGTGATGGTGGTGAGTGGTGGTGGTGAGTGGTGGTGAGTGATGGTGGTGAGTGGTGATGAGTGGTGGTGAGTGATGGTGATGAGTGATGGTGTTGAGTGGTGGTGGTGAGTGGTGGTGAGTGGTGGTGAGTGGTGGTGGTGAGTGGTGGTGAGTGGTGGTGGTGAGTGGTGTTGAGTGGTGAGTGGTGGTGAGTGATGGTGGTGAGTGGTGGTGGTGGTGGTGGTGAGTGGTGGTGAGTGGTGGTGAGTGGTGGTGGTGAGTGGTGGTGAGTGGTGGTGGTGAGTGGTGGTGGTGAGTGGTGGTGAGTGGTGGTGGTGAGTGGTGGTGAGTGGTGGTGGTGAGTGGTGGTGAGTGGTGGTGGTGAGTGGTGGTGGTGAGTGGTGGTGGTGAGTGGTGGTGGTGAGTGGTGAGTGAGTGGTGGTGAGTGGTGGTGAGTGAGTGGTGGTGAGTGGTGGTGAGTGGTGGTGGTGAGTGGTGGTGAGTGGTGGTGAGAGTGGTGGTGGTGAGTGGTGAGTGAGTGGTGGTGGTGGTGAGTGGTGGTGAGTGGTGGTGAGTGGTTTCCATGGTTACCAGTGAGCTGGTGTCTTCAAATGGACGGATCGCGTTTTTTCTGTGGACACAGAGACACAGTGAGACAGAGACAGAGTGAGACAGAGAGACACACAGAGACAGAGACACAGTGAGACACAGTGAGACACAGAGAGACACAGAGAGACACAGTGAGACACAGTGAGACAGTGAGACACAGAGAGACACACAGAGACACAGTGAGACAGTGAGACACAGTGAGACACACAGAGAGACACAGTGAGACACACAGAGACACAGTGAGACAGTGAGACACAGAGAGACACAGTGAGACACACAGAGACACAGTGAGACAGTGAGACACAGAGAGACACAGAGAGACACAGTGAGACAGTGAGACACAGTGAGACAGTGAGACACAGAGAGACACACAGAGACACAGTGAGACAGTGAGACACAGTGAGACACAGTGAGACACACAGAGAGACACAGTGAGACACACAGAGACACAGTGAGACAGTGAGACACAGAGAGACACAGAGAGACACAGTGAGACACACAGAGACACAGTGAGACAGAGACACAGTGAGACACAGAGAGACAGAGACACAGTGAGACACAGAGAGACAGAGACACAGTGAGACACAGAGAGACACAGAGAGACACAGTGAGACACAGAGAGACACAGTGAGACAGAGAGAGACACAGTGAGACACAGAGAGACACAGTGAGACACAGAGAGACACAGAGAGACACAGTGAGACAGTGAGACACAGAGAGACACAGTGAGACACAGAGAGACAGTGAGACACAGAGAGACACAGTGAGACACAGAGAGACACAGTGAGACACACAGAGACACAGAGAGACACAGTGAGACACAGAGACACAGTGAGACACAGTGAGACACACAGTGAGACACAGTGAGGCACAGTGAGACACAAAGTGAGACACAGAGACACAGTGACACACAGTGAGACACAGAGAGACACACAGACACAGTGAGACAGAGAGACACAGTGAGACAGAGAGACACAGTGAGACAGAGACAGAGTGAGACACAGTGAGACACAGAGAGACACAGAGAGACACACAGAGACACAGTAAGACACAGTGAGACACAGTGAGACACAGTGAGACACAGAGAGACACAGAGACACAGAGAGACACAGTGAGACACAGTGAGACACAGTGAGACACAGAGAGACACAGAGACACAGAGAGACACAGAGAGACACAGTGAGACAGAGACACAGTGAGACAGAGTGAGACAGACACAGTGAGACACAGTGAGACACAGAGACACAGTGACACACAGAGACACAGTGAGACACACAGAGACACACAGTGAGACACAGAGAGACACAGAGAGACACAGAGAGACACAGACACACAGACATACAGAGACACAGTGACACACAGAGACACAGTGAGAGACACAGTGAGACACAGTGAGACAGAGTGAGACACACAGAGACACAGTGAGACACACAGAGACACAGTGAGACACAGAGAGACACACAGAGACACAGAGACACAGTGAGACACACAGAGACACAGTGAGACACAGAGAGACACAGTGAGACACAGTGAGACACAGTGAGACACAGAGACACACAGTGACACACAGTGAGACACAGTGAGACCGAGTGAGACACAGAGACACACAGTGAGACACACAGAGACACATAGAGACACACAGAGACACAGTGACACACAGTGAGACACAGAGAGACACAGTGAGACACACAGAGACACAGTGAGACACACAGAGAGACACAGTGAGACACACAGAGAGACACAGTGAGACACACAGAGAGACACAGAGAGACACAGTGACACACAGTGAGACACAGTGAGACACAGTGACACACAGTGAGACAGAGAGACACACAGATACACAGTGAGACACACAGAGACACAGACACACAGTGACACACAGTGAGACACACAGTGAGACACAGTGAGACACACAGAGACACAGTGAGACACAGAGAGACACAGTGAGACACAGTGAGACACACAGAGACACACAGAGACACAGTGACACAGTGACACACAGTGAGACACAGAGAGACACAGTGAGACACACAGAGACACAGTGAGACACACAGAGAGACACAGTGAGACACACAGAGAGACACAGTGAGACACACAGAGAGACACAGTGACACACAGTGACACACAGTGAGACACAGTGAGACACAGTGACACACAGTGAGACAGAGAGACACACAGATACACAGTGAGACACACAGAGACACAGACACACAGAGACACACAGTGAGACACACAGTGAGACACAGTGAGACACACAGAGACAGAGTGAGACACAGAGAGACACAGTGAGACACAGTGAGACAGTGAGACACAGAGAGACACACAGAGACACAGTGAGACACAGTGAGACACACAGAGACACAGTGAGACACACAGAGAGACACAGTGAGACACACAGAGACACAGTGAGACACAGAGAGACACAGTGAGACACACAGAGAGACACAGTGAGACACAGAGACACAGTGAGACACAGAGAGACACACAGAGACACAGAGACACAGTGAGACACACAGAGACACAGTGAGACACAGAGAGACACAGTGAGACACACAGAGACACAGAGACACAGTGAGACAGTGAGATAGTGACACACAGTGAGACACAGAGAGAGACACAGAGAGACACGGTGAGACACAGTGAGACACAGAGACACAGTGAGACACAGAGACACAGTGAGACACAGTGAGACAGTGACACACAGTGAGACACACAGAGACACAGTGAGACACACAGAGACACAGTGAGACACACAGAGAGACACAGTGAGACACACAGAGAGACACAGTGAGACAGAGTGAGACACAGTGAGACACAGTGAGACACACAGAGACACAGTGAGACACACAGAGACACAGTGACACACAGAGACACAGTGAGACACACAGAGAGACACAGTGAGACAGAGTGAGACACAGTGAGACACACAGAGACACAGTGAGACACAGAGAGACACAGTGAGAGACACAGTGAGACACAGTGAGACAGTGAGACAGAGTGAGACACACAGAGACAGTGAGACACAGAGAGACACAGTGAGACACAGTGAGACACAGTGAGACACACAGAGAGACAGTGAGACACACAGAGAGACACAGTGAGACACAGTGAGACACAGAGAGACAGAGGGAGACACAGGGAGACACAGTGAGACACACAGTGAGACACAGTGAGACACACAGTGAGACACAGTGAGACACAGTGAGACAGTGAGACACAGTGAGACAGTGAGACACACAGTGAGACACACAGAGACAGAGTGAGACACACAGAGAGACACAGAGAGAGACACAGTGAGACACAGAGTGAGACAGTGACACACACAGACAGAGTGAGACACAGAGAGACACAGTGAGACACAGAGAGACACACAGAGACACAGTGAGACAGAGTGAGACACAGTGAGACACACAGAGAGACACAGTGAGACACAGAGTGAGACAGTGACACACAGTGAGACACACAGTGAGACACAGAGAGACACAATGAGACACAGAGACACACAGTGAGACACACAGAGAGAGACACAGAGAGACAGAGTAAGACACAGAGTGAGACAGGATTGTGTATTCACCTCTTTAACATCACAGCCCACGGCTTTTTCAATGCAGCCTGGAAGGGAGAGACAGGGAGAGAGAATAACTCTGAGTGTCTAAGTGAGTGTCTAAGTGAGTGAGTGTCTAAGTGAGTGTCTAAGTGAGTGTCTAAGTGTCTAAGTGAGTGAGTGTCTAAGTGAGTGTCTAAGTGAGTGTCTAAGTGAGTGTCTAAGTGAGTGAGTGTCTAAGCGAGTGAGTGTCTAAGTGAGTGTCTAAGTGAGTGTCTAAGTGAGTGTCTAAGTGAGTGAGTGTCTAAGCGAGTGAGTGTCTAAGTGAGTGTCTAAGTGAGTGTCTAAGTGAGTGTCTAAGTGAGTGAGTGTCTAAGTGAGTGAGTGTCTAAGCGAGTGAGTGTCTAAGTGAGTGTCTAAGTGAGTGTTTAAGTGAGTGAGTGTCTAAGTGTCTAAGTGAGTGAGTGTCTAAGTGAGTGTCTAAGTGAGTGTCTAAGAGAGTGAGTGTCTAAGTGAGTGTCTAAGTGAGTGAGTGTATAAGTGAGTGTCTAAGTGAGTGAGTGTCTAAGTGAGTGAGTGTCTGAATGAGTGTCTAAGTGAGTGTCTAAGTGAGTGTATAAGTGAGTATCTAAGTGAGTGTCTAAGTGAGTGTCTAAGTGTCTAAGTGAGTGTCTAAGTGAGTGTCTAAGTGAGTGTTTAAGTGAGTGTCTAAGTGAGTGAGTGTCTAAGTGAGTGAGTGTCTAAGTGAGTGTCTAAGTGAGTGTCAAAGTGTGTGTCTAAGTGAGTGTCTAAGTGTGTGTTAAAGTGAGTGTCTAAGTGAGTATCTAAGTGTGTGAGTGTCTAAGTGTGTGAGTGTCTGAGTGAGTGTCTAAGGGAGTGTGTCTCAGTGAGTGTCTAAGTGAGTGAGTGTCTAAGTGAGTGTCTAAGTGAGTGTCTAAGTGTCTAAGTGAGTAAGTGTCTAAGTGAGTAAGTGTCTAAGTGAGTGTCTAAGTGAGTGTCTAAGTGAATGTCTAAGTGAGTGTCTAAGTGAGTGTCTAAGTGAGTGTCTAAGTGAGTGAGTGTCAAAGTGAGTGTCTAAGTGTCTAAGTGAGTAAGTGTCTAAGTGAGTGTCTAAGTGAGTGTCTAAGTGAGTGAGTGTCTAAGTGAGTGAGTGACTAAGTGAGTGTCTAAGTGAGTGTCTAAGTGAGTGAGTGTCTAAGTGAGTGTCTAAGTGAGTGTCTAAGTGTCTAAGTGTGTGAGTGTCTAAGTGAGTGAGTGTCTAAGTGAGTGTCTAAGTGAGTGTCTAAGTGTGTGTCTAAGTGAGTGAGTGTCTGGGTGTCTAAGTGAGTGAGTGTCTACGTGAGTGAGTGTCTAAGTGAGTTTCTAAGTGGGCGTGTCTAAGTGAGTGAGTGTATAAGTGGGCGTGTCTAAACGAGTGAGTGTATAAGTGGGCGTGTCTAAGTGAGTGTCTAAGTGGGCGTGTCTAAGTGAGTGAGTGTCTAAGTGAGTGTATAAGTGGGCGTGTCTAAGTGAGTGAGTGTCTAAGTGGGCGTCTAAGTGAGTGAGTGTATAAGTGGGCGTGTCTAAATGAGTGAGTGTCTAAGTGGGCGTGTCTAAGTGAGTGTCTATGTGAGTGAGTGTCTAAGTGAGTGTCTAAGTGAGTGTCTAAGTGAGTGTAAGTGGGCGTGTCTAAGTGAGTGAGTGTATAAGTGGGCGTGTCCAAGTGCGTCAGTGTATAAGTGGGCGTGTCCAAGTGAGTGTATGTGGGCGTGTCTAAGTGAGTGAGTCTATAAGTGGGCGTGTCTAATCGAGTGAATGTATAAGTGGGCGTGTCTAAGTGCGTCAGTGTATAAGTGGGCGTGTCTAAGCACCGTGTCTCTCAGCGCCTGTATGGGCCCCCCCGTGGCTCCGCCCCTCAGCAGGAGGCAGCGTTTGGCTCCTCCCCCAGCCCGGCAGGCTCGCTCCTCCAGTAGCCTCTTAGCACGCTGGGTACGTGGTTTACTAAGACACACATAGATAGACACACACACATAGACACACACACATAGACACACTCACACAGCTCGCTCCTCCAGTAGCCTCTTAGCACGCTGGGTACGTGGTTTACTAAGACACACATAGATAGACACACACACATAGACACACACACATAGACACACACACATAGACACACACACACAGCTCGCTCCTCCAGTAGCCTCTTAGCACGCTGGGTACGTGGTTTACTAAGACACACAGATAGACACATAGACAGACACATAGACATAGACACACACACATAGATAGACACACACACATAGACACTCACACAGCTCGCTCCTCCAGTAGCCTCTTAGCACGCTGGGTACGTGGTTTACTAAGACACACATAGATAGACACACATAGATAGACACACACAGATAGACACACAGACACATACACACAGACACACACACATAGACACTCACACAGCTCGCTCCTCCAGTAGCCTCTTAGCACGCTGGGTACGTGGTTTACTAAGACACACATAGATAGACACACACACATAGACACACACACACATAGACACACACACACATAGACACACACACACAGCTCGCTCCTCCAGTAGCCTCTTACCACGCTGGGTACGTGGTTTACTAAGACACATAGACACACATAGATAGACACACACATAGACACACATAGATAGACACATAGATAGACACACATAGATAGACACACATAGATACACACACACACATAGACACACACACATAGACACACACACAGATAGACACACACACATAGACACACACACATAGACACACTCACACAGCTCGCTCCTCCAGTAGCCTCTTACCACGCTGGGTACGTGGTTTACTAAGACACACATAGATAGACACACATAGATAGACACACACACATAGACACACACACATAGACACATAGATAGACACATAGACACACAGACACATAGACACACAGACACACACATACACACACATAGACACACACATAGACACACACACATAGACACACACACATAGACACACACACACATAGACATACACACATAGACACACACACATAGATAGACACATAGACACACACACATAGACACACACACATAGACACACACACATAGACACACACACACACAGCTCGCTCCTCCAGTAGCCGCTTACCACGCTGGGTACGTGGTTTACTTAGACACACAGACACACACATAGACACACACACATAGATAGACACACATAGACACACACACATAGATACACACATAGACACACACACATAGATAGACACACACACACATAGACACACACAGAGACACACACATAGACACACACACTCACACATAGACAGACACACATAGATACACACAGATAGACACACACACACACTGACACAGACACACACACATAGACACAAACACACAGACACACACACATAGACACACACAGATAGACACACACACATATAGACACACAGATAGACACACACACATATAGACACACAGATAGACACACACACATGGACACACACGCAGATAGACACACACAGAGACACACACAGACACACTCACACAGAGTCTTCCACTTACACAGAGACACTCACACATACAGAGAGTCTCACACTTACACACAGAGACACACATACACACACAGAGACACACATACACACAGAGTCTCACACTCACAGTCTCACACTCACACACAGAGACACACATACACACAGAGACACACACACAGTCTCACACTTACACACACACAGACTCACACACACTCACCACACAAGAGTCTCACACTCACACTAACCACACAGTCTCACACTTACACAGAGACACATATACACACAGAGACACACACACAGAGTCTCACACTTACACACACACAGAGCCTCACACTTACACACACACAGTCTCACACTTACACACAGTCTCACACTTACACACAGAGACACACATACACACAGAGACACACACACAGAGTCTCACACTTACACACAGAGTCTCACACTTACACACAGAGACACACACACACAGTCTCACACTTACACACACACTCACCACACAAGAGTCTCACACTCACACTAACCACAGAGTCTCACACTTACACACCACACAGCCTCACACATACACACACTAACCACACAGTCTCACACTTACACACACACCACACTCACTCATCACACAAGAGTCTCACACACTCACACTAACCACACAGTCTCACACTTACACACTAACCACACAGTCTCACACTTGCACACTCACACACTAACCACACAGTCTTACACTTACACACTCACACACTAACACACAGAGTCTCACACTTACACACTCACACACTAACCACACAGTCTTACACTTACACACTCACACACTAACACACAGAGTCTCACACTTACACACTCACACACTAACTACACAGTCTCACACTTACACACTCACACACAGTCTCACACTTACACACTCACACACACTAACCACACAGTCTCACACTTACACACTCACACTTACACACTAACCACACTCACACACAGTCTCACACTTACACACTCACACTAACACACAGTCTCACACTTACTCACACACACTAACCACACTCACACTAACACACAGTCTCAAACTTACACACTCACACTAACACACAGTCTCACACTTACACACTCACACTAACCACACAGTTTCACACTTACACAGTCTCACACTTACACACACTCACACACACTCACCACACAGTCTCACACTTACACACTCACAGTCTCACACTTACACACTCACACACTTACACACACACCACACTCACACTTACACACACTTACACACTCACAGGCTCACACTTACACCACACTTACACCACACTCACACCAACACACAGAGTCTCACACTTACACACTCACACACACTAACCACACAGTCTCACACTTACACACTCACAGTCTCACACTTACACACACCACACTCACACTAACACAGAGTCTCACACTTACACACTCACACACACAGTCTCACACACTCACAGTCTCACACTTACACACTCACACACAGTCTCACACTTACACACTCACACACACAGTCTCACACTTACACACTCACACACACAGGCTCACACTTACACACAGAGTCTCACACTTACACACTCACACACAGTCTCACACTTACACACTAACACACAGTCTCACAGTCACACACTAACCACACCTCACACTTACACACACTCACCACACAGTCTCACACTTACACACTCACACACAGAGTCTCACACTCACACTAACACACAGTCTCACAGTCACACACTAACCACACAGTCTCACAACTACACACACTCACCACACAGTCTCACACTTACACACACTCACAGTCTCACACTTACACACTTACACACAGAGTCTCACACTTACACACACACCACACTCACACTAACACACAGAGTCTCACACTTACACACTCACACACACTAACCACACAGTCTCACACACTCACAGTCTCACACTTACACACTCACACACAGTCTCACACTTACACACTCACACACACAGTCTCACACTTACACACTCACACACACAGGCTCACACTTACACACAGAGTCTCACACTTACACACTCACACACAGTCTCACACTTACACACTAACACACAGTCTCACAGTCACACACTAACCACACCTCACACTTACACACACTCACCACACAGTCTCACACTCACACACAGAGTCTCACACTCACACTAACACAGTCTCACAGTCACACACTAACCACACAGTCTCACACTTACACACACTCACCACACAGTCTCACACTTACACACACTCACAGTCTCACACTTACACACTCACACACTTACACACAGAGTCTCACACTTACACACACACCACACTAACACACAGAGTCTCACACTTACACACTCACACACACTAACCACACAGTCTCACACACTCACAGTCTCACACTTACACACTCACACACACAGTCTCACACTTACACACTCACACTTACACACTAACCACACTCACACACAGGCTCACACTTACACAATCCGCTCCATGGCTCCACAAGCGGCGACTTTTCGATGCTCCCTCTCCTTACCTCTCTACCTCTAGACACACACACTCTCTACACACACTATATATATCACTCTATATCTCTCTATCTAACTATATATCTCTCTATATCTCTCTATATATAACTATGTATCTCTCTATATAACTCTATATCTCTCTATATAACTCTATATATCTCTATATAACTCTATATCTCTCTATATAACTCTATATATCTCTATATAACTCTATATATCTCTATATAACTCTATATAATTCTATATAACTCTTTATAATTCTATCTCTCGATCTCTCTCTGCCTCTCTCCACGTGTCTCCCACTCTCTCGAACCGGAAGCACACCGGCTCGCGCGCGTGAACCGGAAGCAGAATCGCGCCGCTCGCGTGACCCGGATGCGGAAGCGCGACCCCTTCCCTTCCCCCACCATTCACGATACCCTACGATGTTATATTAAAACTTTATATTATAACGTTACAATGTTATATTATTACTTAAAATTTTTTTACTTTAAACTTTCGTCACTGCAGGAATTCACATTCTTGGCTCTTTCGGTAAAGTCACGTAGATAGAAAAAAAAATAAAAATAAGTTAAAAACTATTTATTTGAGAGTAGGTTTTCCCCTTTTTTCTGGCAACAATTTATTTTAGATTTTTATAAAAAATATTTGTTTAATTTTATTTTATTTCCTACGTTACTTTGCGGAAAGAAACAAAGAATAAGATTATTGTTGTTGAGCGGCGGTGATATGGCGTGGAACCGAGTCGACCAATCAGGAAGCTCGCTCCTCTCGGGTGGCGAGGAGAGGGGGCGGGGCGTCGCGAGGCTCTTTCGGAAGACATCTTCCGTTACCGGAAGACGGCGTCTTCTGGAAGAGGAAGATGTCTTCTACCAGGAAGACGTCTTCCGGTAGAAGGCTTTCCCCCTGTTCGGAAATCTGGCGGAAGACGTCTTCTGGAAGAGGAAGATCTCTTCTACCAGGAAGACGTCTTCCGGTAGAAGGCTTTCCCCCTGTTCGGAAAGCTGGCGGAAGATGTCTTCTGGAAGAGGAAGATGTCTTTAGGAAGAAGGAAGTGATCTTCCGGAAGAGGTATTTCTGTTCGGAAACATCTTCCAGAAGATGGAATCCATCTTCAACGGCATCATCGTCAACAGCTGAATATCATAATCAGCTAAACATCATCATCATCATCAGCTAATCATCAGCTGAATATCAGCATCAGCGGCTAAACATCATCATCAGTTAAACATCATCAGCTGAATATCAGCATCAGCGGCTCAACATCATCATCAGCTGAATATCAGAAGCTAAGCATCAGCTAAACATCATGATGAGCATCATCATCATCAGCTAAACATCATCATCAGCAGCAGATAATCATCAGCATCAACTGATCACTGTGGGTGAGTGGGCGGGTGAGGGAGTTGGTGAGTGGACGGGTGAGTGAGTGGCTGGTGAGTGAGTGGCTGGTGAGTGGTGAGTGGCTGGTGAGTGGTGAGTGGCTGGTGAGTGGTGAGTGGCTGGTGAGTGAGTGGCTGGTGAGTGAGTGGCTGGTGAGTGGGTGCTGAGTGGCTGGTGAGTGAGTGGCTGGTGAGTGAGTGGCTGGTGAGTGAGTGGCTGGTGAGTGAGTGGCTGGTGAGTGGTGAGTGGCTGGTGAGTGAGTGGTGAGTGGCTGGTGAGTGAGTATCTGAGTGAGTGAGTGGCTGGTGAGTGAGTGAGTGGCTGGTGAGTGAGTGGCTGGTGAGTGAGTCGCTGGTGAGTGAGTGGTGAGTGAGTGAGTGGTGGGTGAGTGAGTGGCTGGTGAGTGAGTGGTGAGTGGCTGGTGAGTGAGTGGCTGGTGAGTGAGTGGCTGGTGAGTGAGTGGTGAGTGGCTGGTGAGTGAGTGGTTGTCTCTGTGTGGGGTGAGTAGGTGGTGAGTAGGTGGTGAGTAGGTGGTGAGTATCTGTGTGTGTCTCTGTGTGTGGTGAGTAGGTGGTGAGTAGGTGGTGAGTAGGTGGTGAGTAGCTGTATGTGTCTGTGTGTGGTGAGTAGGTGGTGAGTAGCTGGTGAGTAGCTGTATGTGTCTCTGTGTGTCTCTGTGTGTGTCTCTGTGTGTGGTGAGTAGGTGGTGAGTATCTGTGTGTGTCTCTGTGTGTGACTCTGTGTGTGGTGAGTAGGCGGTGAGTAGCTGGTGAGTATCTGTGTGTGTCTCTGTAGGTGGTGAGTAGGTGGTGAGTAGCTGGTGAGTAGGTGGTGAGTATCTGTGTGTGTCTCTGTGGTGAGTAGGTGGTGAGTAGGTGGTGAGTAGCTGTGTGTGTCTCTGTGTGTGTCTCTGTGTGGTGAGTAGCTGGTGAGTAGCTGGTGAGTAGGTGGTGAGTAGGTGGTGAGTAGGTGGTGAGTATCTGTGTGTGTCTCTGTGTGTGGTGAGGAGGTGGTGAGTAGGTGGTGAGTAGCTGGTGAGTAGCTGTATGTGTCTGTGTGTGGTGAGTAGGTGGTGAGTAGCTGGTGAGTAGCTGTATGTGTCTCTGTGTGTGTCTCTGTGTGTGGTGAGTAGGTGGTGAGTATCTGTGTGTGACTCTGTGTGTGGTGAGTAGGTGGTGAGTAGCTGGTGAGTATCTGTGTGTGTCTCTGTGTGTCTCTGTGTGTGTCTCTGTGTGTGGTGAGTAGGTGGTGAGTAGGTGGTGAGTATCTGTGTGTGTCTCTGTAGGTGGTGAGTAGGTGGTGAGTAGCTGGTGAGTAGGTGGTGAGTATCTGTGTGTGTCTCTGTGGTGAGTAGGTGGTGAGTAGGTGGTGAGTAGGTGGTGAGTATCTGTGTGTGTCTCTGTGTGTGTGGTGAGTAGGTGGTGAGTAGGTGGTGAGTAGCTGGTGAGTAGCTGTATGTGTCTCTGTGTGTGGTGAGTAGGTGGTGAGTAGGTGGTGAGTAGCTGTGTGTGTCTCTGTGTGTGTCTGTGTGTGTGGTGAGTAGGTGGTGAGTAGCTGTGTGTGTCTCTGTGTGTGTCTGTGTGTGTGGTGAGTAGGTGGTGAGTAGGTGGTGAGTAGGTGTGTGTGTCTCTGTGTGTGTGGTGAGTAGGTGGTGAGTAGGTGGTGAGTAGCTGTGTGTGTCTCTGTGTGTGTCTGTGTGTGTGGTGAGTAGGTGGTGAGTAGGTGGTGAGTAGGTGGTGAGTAGCTGTGTGTGTCTCTGTGTGTGTCTGTGTGTGTGGTGAGTAGGTGGTGAGTAGGTGGTGAGTAGCTGTGTGTGTCTCTGTGTGTGTCTGTGTGTGTGTGTCTGTGTGTGTGGTGAGTAGGTGGTGAGTAGGTGGTGAGTAGCTGGTGAGTAGCTGTGTGTGTCTCTGTGTGTGTCTGTGTGTGTGGTGAGTAGGTGGTGAGTAGGTGGTGAGTAGCTGTGTGTGTCTCTGTGTGTGTCTGTGTGTGTGTCTGTGTGTGGTGAGTAGCTGTGTGTGTCTCTGTGTGTGTCTCTGTGTGTGTGGTGAGTAGGTGGTGAGTAGCTGTGTGTGTCTCTGTGTGTGTCTCTGTGTGTCTCTGTGTGTGTGGTGAGTAGGTGGTGAGTAGCTGTGTGTGTCTCTGTGTGTGTTTCTGTGTGTGTGGTGAGTAGGTGGTGAGTAGCTGTGTGTGTCTCTGCGTGTGTCTCTGTGTGTGTGGTGAGTAGGTGGTGAGTAGGTGGTGAGTAGGTGGTGAGTAGCTGTGTGTGTCTCTGTGTGTGTCTGTGTGTGTGTCTGTGTGTGTGGTGAGTAGGTGGTGAGTAGGTGGTGAGTAGCTGTGTGTGTCTCTGTGTGTGTCTCTGTGTGTGTGGTGAGTATGTGGTGAGTAGCTGTGTGTGTCTGTGTGTGTGGTGAGTAGGTGGTGAGTAGGTGGTGAGTAGCTGTGTGTGTCTCTGTGTGTGTCTGTGTGTGTGTCTCTGTGTGTGTGGTGAGTAGGTGGTGAGTAGGTGGTGAGTAGCTGTGTGTGTCTCTGTGTGTGTCTGTGTGTGTGGTGAGTAGGTGGTGAGTAGGTGGTGAGTAGCTGTGTGTGTCTCTGTGTGTGTCTGTGTGTGTGTCTGTGTGTGTGGTGAGTAGGTGGTGAGTAGGTGGTGAGTAGCTGTGTGTGTCTCTGTGTGTGTCTCTGTGTGTGTGGTGAGTAGGTGGTGAGTAGCTGTGTGTGTCTCTGTGTGTGTCTCTGTGTGTGTGGTGAGTAGGTGGTGAGTAGCTGTGTGTGTCTCTGTGTGTGTCTCTGTGTGTGTGGTGAGTAGGTGGTGAGTAGGTGGTGAGTAGGTGGTGAGTAGCTGTGTGTGTCTCTGTGTGTGTCTGTGTGTGTGTCTCTGTGTGTGTGGTGAGTAGGTGGTGAGTAGGTGGTGAGTAGGTGGTGAGTAGGTGGTGAGTAGCTGTATGTGTCTGTGTGTGGTGAGTAGGTGGTGAGTAGCTGGTGAGTAGCTGTATGTGTCTCTGTGTGTCTCTGTGTGTGTCTCTGTGTGTGGTGAGTAGGTGGTGAGTATCTGTGTGTGTCTCTGTGTGTGACTCTGTGTGTGGTGAGTAGGCGGTGAGTAGCTGGTGAGTATCTGTGTGTGTCTCTGTAGGTGGTGAGTAGGTGGTGAGTAGCTGGTGAGTAGGTGGTGAGTATCTGTGTGTGTCTCTGTGGTGAGTAGGTGGTGAGTAGGTGGTGAGTAGCTGTGTGTGTCTCTGTGTGTGTCTCTGTGTGGTGAGTAGCTGGTGTGTAGCTGGTGAGTAGGTGGTGAGTAGGTGGTGAGTAGGTGGTGAGTATCTGTGTGTGTCTCTGTGTGTGGTGAGGAGGTGGTGAGTAGGTGGTGAGTAGCTGGTGAGTAGCTGTATGTGTCTGTGTGTGGTGAGTAGGTGGTGAGTAGCTGGTGAGTAGCTGTATGTGTCTCTGTGTGTGTCTCTGTGTGTGGTGAGTAGGTGGTGAGTATCTGTGTGTGACTCTGTGTGTGGTGAGTAGGTGGTGAGTAGCTGGTGAGTATCTGTGTGTGTCTCTGTGTGTCTCTGTGTGTGTCTCTGTGTGTGGTGAGTAGGTGGTGAGTAGGTGGTGAGTATCTGTGTGTGTCTCTGTAGGTGGTGAGTAGGTGGTGAGTAGCTGGTGAGTAGGTGGTGAGTATCTGTGTGTGTCTCTGTGGTGAGTAGGTGGTGAGTAGGTGGTGAGTAGGTGGTGAGTATCTGTGTGTGTCTCTGTGTGTGTGGTGAGTAGGTGGTGAGTAGGTGGTGAGTAGCTGGTGAGTAGCTGTATGTGTCTCTGTGTGTGGTGAGTAGGTGGTGAGTAGGTGGTGAGTAGCTGTGTGTGTCTCTGTGTGTGTCTGTGTGTGTGGTGAGTAGGTGGTGAGTAGCTGTGTGTGTCTCTGTGTGTGTCTGTGTGTGTGGTGAGTAGGTGGTGAGTAGGTGGTGAGTAGGTGTGTGTGTCTCTGTGTGTGTGGTGAGTAGGTGGTGAGTAGGTGGTGAGTAGCTGTGTGTGTCTCTGTGTGTGTCTGTGTGTGTGGTGAGTAGGTGGTGAGTAGGTGGTGAGTAGGTGGTGAGTAGCTGTGTGTGTCTCTGTGTGTGTCTGTGTGTGTGGTGAGTAGGTGGTGAGTAGGTGGTGAGTAGCTGTGTGTGTCTCTGTGTGTGTCTGTGTGTGTGTTTCTGTGTGTGTGGTGAGTAGGTGGTGAGTAGGTGGTGAGTAGCTGGTGAGTAGCTGTGTGTGTCTCTGTGTGTGTCTGTGTGTGTGGTGAGTAGGTGGTGAGTAGGTGGTGAGTAGGTGGTGAGTAGCTGTGTGTGTCTCTGTGTGTGTCTGTGTGTGTGGTGAGTAGGTGGTGAGTAGGTGGTGAGTAGCTGTGTGTGTCTCTGTGTGTGTCTGTGTGTGTGTTTCTGTGTGTGTGGTGAGTAGGTGGTGAGTAGGTGGTGAGTAGCTGGTGAGTAGCTGTGTGTGTCTCTGTGTGTGTCTGTGTGTGTGGTGAGTAGGTGGTGAGTAGGTGGTGAGTAGCTGTGTGTGTCTCTGTGTGTGTCTGTGTGTGTGTCTGTGTGTGGTGAGTAGCTGTGTGTGTCTCTGTGTGTGTCTCTGTGTGTGTGGTGAGTAGGTGGTGAGTAGCTGTGTGTGTCTCTGTGTGTGTCTCTGTGTGTCTCTGTGTGTGTGGTGAGTAGGTGGTGAGTAGCTGTGTGTGTCTCTGTGTGTGTTTCTGTGTGTGTGGTGAGTAGGTGGTGAGTAGCTGTGTGTGTCTCTGCGTGTGTCTCTGTGTGTGTGGTGAGTAGGTGGTGAGTAGGTGGTGAGTAGGTGGTGAGTAGCTGTGTGTGTCTCTGTGTGTGTCTGTGTGTGTGTCTGTGTGTGTGGTGAGTAGGTGGTGAGTAGGTGGTGAGTATCTGTGTGTGTCTCTGTGTGTGGTGAGTAGGTGGTGAGTAGGTGGTGAGTAGCTGTATGTGTCTGTGTGTGGTGAGTAGGTGGTGAGTAGCTGGTGAGTAGCTGTATGTGTCTCTGTGTGTCTCTGTGTGTGTCTCTGTGTGTGGTGAGTAGGTGGTGAGTATCTGTGTGTGTCTCTGTGTGTGACTCTGTGTGTGGTGAGTAGGCGGTGAGTAGCTGGTGAGTATCTGTGTGTGTCTCTGTAGGTGGTGAGTAGGTGGTGAGTAGCTGGTGAGTAGGTGGTGAGTATCTGTGTGTGTCTCTGTGGTGAGTAGGTGGTGAGTAGGTGGTGAGTAGCTGTGTGTGTCTCTGTGTGTGTCTCTGTGTGGTGAGTAGCTGGTGAGTAGCTGGTGAGTAGGTGGTGAGTAGGTGGTGAGTAGGTGGTGAGTATCTGTGTGTGTCTCTGTGTGTGGTGAGGAGGTGGTGAGTAGGTGGTGAGTAGCTGGTGAGTAGCTGTGTGTGTCTGTGTGTGGTGAGTAGGTGGTGAGTAGGTGGTGAGTAGCTGTATGTGTCTCTGTGTGTGTCTCTGTGTGTGGTGAGTAGGTGGTGAGTATCTGTGTGTGACTCTGTGTGTGGTGAGTAGGTGGTGAGTAGCTGGTGAGTATCTGTGTGTGTCTCTGTGTGTCTCTGTGTGTGTCTCTGTGTGTGGTGAGTAGGTGGTGAGTAGGTGGTGAGTATCTGTGTGTGTCTCTGTAGGTGGTGAGTAGGTGGTGAGTAGCTGGTGAGTAGGTGGTGAGTATCTGTGTGTGTCTCTGTGGTGAGTAGGTGGTGAGTAGGTGGTGAGTAGGTGGTGAGTATCTGTGTGTGTCTCTGTGTGTGTGGTGAGTAGGTGGTGAGTAGGTGGTGAGTAGCTGGTGAGTAGCTGTATGTGTCTC